ATGATGCTATAAATTAACTCATGCTTCCTCCGAGGTCACGTAGCGCTTCACAGGGATAACAATGTACCGATTTGCCTATTAGACGTGAAATGAACTAGGGAAAAAGAAGAAGGTAACACTATAATGTAGAACTAAGTCTAGCGCAGATGGAAAAAAATGCTTCGCGTTCGCTAGAGATAGTATGCGCAGCTATTATCAGCAAGAAATCAGGTCGGAGTATACTGCCGCCATAGACAAGATATCGGACGGTCTGTGCCGTCTATCAAAAAACGGCTAGACACAAAAGATAGAAAAAAAGGCAACATTCGTATCAGTGCCAAATATATTCAGGCGTATGCAATGCGCATACTCGGGATCGACAGGTCAACAGGTGCTATCCTGCTGTCGTTGTCCACGATTGCTGAGAAGCTGAGAACTTCATCTGATTTATATCATAGGACTCGTAGTTTGAAGCTTTTTGGCTTTTTTTCTGTGTTCGGCCGGGGGGGGCAAACGCAACGTTAGCGTACACTTATATAACATGTTCTGAGCAAGGAACATAACTAAGAACGTATATATTTGGCCGGACTGCCGTTGTCTATGTTTGAAGACTCTCAAAAAGCTCTTCTGGTTCAGCACTAAAACCCAGAAAGGCTTCTTGAGAGTATTCAAGTGGAAAACAGTCTATCCTTAGGATACAAAAAATAATCTCTTATCTCATATTTGAGAATAGAAGCGCAATGCCAACTATATGAACATTTTAGCTGGTGAGAAGCTACGGAAGGTTGGTCATAGGCGTATTTTTTTAACATGACAGTTCTTCGACGCATCGCCGCTTAAGTAAAAAAAGTAAGTAAAAAATAAAAAGGGAAAAAAGATCGCTTTTCTCGACTAGCTGATATGTCCGTATATAGTGAATATTATGAAAATTCATAAGAAATCGCCATAAGACATGTTCATATAGAGCAATTCATTACTAGAGAGCTAAAAATGGCCATTATGACTAATATGGAATGCCATGAAATAGTGTTGAATTTCCGTCGAGCTTTTAGACGGCCAAGTGCGCAAATCATTTAGATAGCTTCGCTTTTCCATAGAATATCTTTTTTAGCGACACTGATAAAGGCTATATTTTTCGCAAAAAAAAACTGTATATCTTGTTTTTTGTTTATTTACACTCAATTTTTTCTACTCCTCATCATTGGGCTCTTGGTCTTCCATCAGACCCCTCCAGAATACTTATGTAAAAATAAGTTTTCCTATAATACAGGTTCCAACATAGAAAACAGAAACCGATTTCTGTGCGCGTACCTATTCTTCTTTAGCTTAATTCAGGAAGATTAATTTGCACTAGCAATGGGAAGCGACATTTGTCAATGTCCTCCCAGGAATAGCCTGCATGAGTAAATTTAATCTACGGCTCCCGATAATTCGGTACCGTTTTCACTAGTAACTTTACAAAAACGCTGCGCCAGGTCGTCGATCGTCTTCGACGCTGTTTGATACACTCTGGATTTCATATTTGCGCACACAGAAAAAAAAAATAGTGAGAACTAAATTACACGACCAACGAGAAGACTCGATGGGGCTGCCGCGTACTGAAATCAGCCGCCACAAGAACATGTTTACAAGCAGATTGTTACCGTTTCCCCCGCGACATGGTGAACTTCCTCATTTTCATGAGGCAGATTGCTTGCATCGAATGTCGTTGTATTGATTGCACCAGAAGGTTTGCAACACCTTACGATAGCGCTCGCCACTAACTGTTTCTGCCGTTCCACAGTTATGCTCAAAGAAAAAAAGCCCAGTGAGCCCAAAACGTACTGCACAATGACCTCTTGTGAGTAAGATCATTTTGGAATTTGTTAGTCAAAAAAAATGCGCCAATTTTGTTGATTCACATGCTGATGTAGCTGCAAATCAGTTTCATAAGTAAAAATGATGCTATCAAAGATAGCACGCTCCTTATTACCTTTGACTTTTAAATACTGAATTCATTTCACCCTGTAAAGGTGAAGACGCAACTCCTGCTTGAAGATGCGTTCTAGATGGCTCTTCCACTAGCCAAGTTGTTGAAGAAGATGTCGCACTGAGGCTGTTGGATTGTACTGTAGTAATGCTGTGAATTATTCGCCTTTCTCGTGAACTACCTGGTATCAATTCGTGAAAGAAAAAAGGCAGCTATAATTTAAGGCACCCTGGCTAAACTTCGACATGTCCGACTGAAATATGGTTAAGCACACTTGATAGTGTTTTCGGCAAGCAGAATTTGAATGTACATTTGGAAAGGACGTAAAAAAACAACAACTCAAAGGATTTATCTCTCTAGGATGATAGGACAATTAGCGTCAAAAATACGAAATTCTTGCATAGAAAGTGTTCCTAAAGAAAATTGCTCTGTAACAAGGCGTTATGTGCCACAAAACAACTAAAGTAGATCGACAAAATAGAGTAGTTGAATAAATGTGCTAGACAAATATTTTCAAACACACGAGGTATATTTCATCTATGAAATATCTAGAAAATACTGAAACAAGAAGTTCCCATGGCTTTCTATCATTTTTTCCCCGTTTACTACTTTGACAGAGATACCTTTCTTCGAATCCAAGTTAGATTTAATGCTTTATAATAATAATAATTTGGACTAACCGTATAATAAGCAAGTAATCGTAGTCCAGAAATCCATTCTGTATACTGTCAAGAAAAACTTTTATATTAAAAAAAGATCTCATCCTGGTGCACTGATAGGGATTTTAAATTGAACATGAACTATGTATAATCATTTTGTTGTAATTTTTCTAGAATACAATTCTAGACACTTGGACCTATCGCTTAGGGATGTTCTCAGTCTCAGACGCTTTTAAGAAGCACCAAGAGAAGCATGCATTTCAATTGGAGCAATGGATTAAGTTGTGCTCAGACAAGATTTTGGTTTTACTTGATTAATACTAATTTGGAACTGGCAGAACCACTATACATAATATTCAACGAACATCTACGTAAGGACTTTATCCGTTATTGTGCGCAAGCTATCCCTACAAGCAGGTCTTCATAAGGTTGGTTTAAAACGCTTTGCGCATAGTTCAGCGACCTAAATCTTCCTCAAATAGCCTTATCATATTGCGCAGAAGTGACACTAGTTTTTTTAGAACGAACGTAAAAAGCAACCACGAAATTCGCACAAAGACGCACAAAGTGTAATTTTAGGAAAAATCACGACAACCAGTTGGGCAAACAAAGCGCAGCTACTTTCTGCTCATAGCGTAGGTCGGACAGGCAAAACGCGTTTATACGTCACAATATGCGTACAATTATACCGCAAACACCACTCTTTTTTGACCGCCGCCTACGCAGATTGCCTGCCCGTCGGTCTCACAGTTAGGTTGCCACTCGTACTATAATATATATATATATATATATATATATATATTATAGTACGTTAATATGGACACACGTGAATACTTTGTAAAAACTAAACACTATGTCGTTAGATTACTATACATCAGTCTATGTTTATCATATACACAACACATAGAAACAACGCTATACCACATTGTGATATATACATAATATGTTTCCCGTATATAAATATACATTTGTGTTTTAGTTATGTGTGCAATATATCTATGTAAATATCAAGTGTTACCCAGATGGCTTGATTAACTCTACCAAAGATGTGGGCGTATATAATCGAATTAGCTAGAGGTCGGTCGCCATATATTTCAGTAGTAGTCAATTTTCAACAAAAAATAGTTTAAGCTTTCGAGCATTTTGCTTTCTAGCGATATGTTTGATAAATTTTTGTTACTAACTGTTGAACTGTTTTTATGACATAAGGTCGCCACAAAGGTTTTGTGAAGCTGTATGTAGGGTTCTGTTTTCTCAAGATAAAACAAAGAAATAGTGTCTCTTACGTACTATCGTTGCAGACTAAATAACGCTGGTGATAAGCATTATGTTAACTATTTATGTCCGTAACGAATGTCATGTGTTATCTGCGAGCCACAAAACTGTGTTACATGTACCTGTAGCGACATTATATGTTGCTCACCTCTGATATAAACTGATTTATATACGTATATATGTATAGACTTATAAAGTCGTCACCGTGCTAGAGATGTCAGGCTTTAGCCTTTCTGCAATCCCTTCAGACATCTTAACGCATCCAACGAATTGCATCTGAAGACCAAGGCAGCGTAAAGTGGTAAACCCAAGTCTAATCGGGCCGTAATGAAATCGGTGTTTAAGATAAATGTCATTGAGACCTAAGCACATATGACTCCAACCTTAAACGTCTGACAGCTACCAGCGACGTGTATCGCCGTTGGTTGAAACCCCAGGCGCTGATCGGTTGCCGCTCGCATTGGAGCACATGCCGTCGCAAGGCGGAGCCACTTTAGCGCCAAGCTACCCAGCAAGCTCCCCGGTGAAGCGATCTCAAATTTTCAACACTTTTTTGTTGAGGGTGTTGCATGTTGCCTATCATTCATGTGAGCTGCTTGCGACTTGCAAGGCAGAAAAACTTAATAGCATCTTAATTAAACACGGCCATCGGCATCATGCAGAATTCAACTAACCTAATTAAAATTTCATTACATATAGTTGAAACTATTTCTACGTAACAAAAACACGTTTCTTGCCACTACAGCTGTAGGGTGGTCGTGCCACTTTCCTGTAGTTAGTTTTCTGGCTTAGAACAGTCATTTTATAATTGATATATAAAATCACTTACAAGTCGTTTCTAACACTATATTGCCGGAAGATACCAACTAACGAAATTACCACTAGTTTTGTTTAGATATAATCATACTCGTGATTGGCTGAGATCGATAAGCTTGACTCTTGTGCTATATATATATATATATATATATATATATATATCATGCCAGATAGAACATTTGGCAAGAAATATCTAAACTAGGTATATTCTAGCGAAAATGATTTAGCGTCAAATTGTTCGCCTCACCCTATGAACAAACAAATTTCTTAGTAGTACAGCAAGTAGCCTTGTTTATCGTGTCGCCACTGCCGGGGCGAAAAAGAGGCATTGATCGAGGGGTGCACCGTGATAACCAAAAGCGACACAAACTGAAGCGAACCACCGACAGCAGTAGCAAACAACAGGCCAACGGAGTCCGGCTCGAAAAGAGCGCGCTACCTGGTTCTTGGGTTCGAAGCCGCCTCCCGCCGATTGTTCAGCGCCATTTCAGTTCTGCACAGAGAGCTCTCGCTCAGCAAGGGAACCAAGCACAGCTGCTCTTTCGAGCGCCATCCATTGTACACTTCTTCTAGAGAGCGATGTCACAGAACGTTGGAGCATCAGCACCGACAACGGCAACCCCCAGACCAGTCGATTTGCCGCTGCAACTAGGCTTGTGGAGAGAAGGTCGGCGGTCGCCAGATCTTAGAGCAATCAGGTTGGTACTCCGCAGTCGCTGCCAGGAGGTGAACGGCGTTAAAGCCCCGACTCAAATTCTTGATTCCACAGATCTTGACACAGATTTTTGGCAAATTTGCCGGTGGTTCCGGTGAAACCCGGATCGGCCGCACGTAGCAGTGTAGTTTTGCCTTATCTATTGTGCAATAATTCAAAATTTCAGTGCGCGCGAAAGTTTTGGTACTGAAAAAGGCATTATTTTTGGCAGAACCATTCACTTAAGGTAGGTTATTCGTCCGCCATTTTAACTTTATGCCTTTTCAGATTTGTCGCGTTGCTAAGGCACGATGTTAGAGTTTCATGGGATACTTGAACAAGTTGTTACTGCAGCGAGGTTACTCTAGATACTTAGAAGTGACCGCCAGAGAAGGCTCGTTTTATTCTGAAGCTGCGTCGCACCATGGCTAGATTGCTGGTACCATTTTTGAAGCACTTTTAGCGATTTCATTTCGGCATCAGCTAAGAGTCACTCCAATCCTTCTCAAGCTGTTTGCGCAACAGCTAATTATTAGTTCGACTATTGGCCCAGCTAAACCTAACCTCGTGTAGATTTCCCTATGCTTGGACGCAAAGCGATAGCCGTTGAGTTACCGTTCACCGTCATTGACTACGTCCGCCATAATAAATTTCAGATAACAGGTGCACAAAGTGCAAAGTGATCTCCATCGCCAATCTGAGACCTATGGCTGAAGACTATTCAGTGCGCTCGCCACCTCCAAGCCAGCCTTTTCAAAGCATGGACAAGGTGAAAATCGTTAACCGTGCTCAACATGAAACGATCATGAAACTCATTGAAGCGGTCAGGAAGTTCCCCGTATTGTACAACTCGAAACGTACCGACTACCGAGACGTTGATCTCAAAAGGCACTATTGGCATCAAGTGCAGGCAGAGACTAAGATTGCGACTGGTGAGTATCTTGCTTCAGCCGTGGTATATTCAATAGTTGGGTGATTAAAAGGTTCGTTTAGAAACGCATAGTGTTCGAAAATCGTTAGTACAAACATGAATACCTAAATTACAATTCTTTAAGTCGTCCTTGAGTGCTAAATTACAGACACTTGTATCCCTTCCATTTGCTGTCGATAGTTGAGGAATGCCAGAAGCTATGGAAAACCCTTCGCGATCGTTTTATCCGCGAGACACGTGTTTTAGAAAACAACGAGAAGCTTACTGGGTCTTCGGAAACTGCAGCAGCCGCAGCAGTAAGATGGCCATACTACGAGGCGCTAATGTTTTACCGAAACTGTGGACGTTCACCAAGGTTGTACCATATTGATATAACTGTAAAAAAAAACGTACGCATTTTTTGAGCATTGTCTTCTGCAACTAACTTGGATAAGTGTATTAATATATTTAGCATGGTCGAAGCGCATTCAAGCTCTTTGATTATTAACATAGATACAAATTGCATAGGCCAAGTGCTTATTCCATTTGGGCTATTTATTGAGGATTGCGAATCTCTTACTACAATGATTGGTCCCGTGATTTGTATTGCAACTGCAGAAAGCATGGACTAATCATTGAGATTGTAATAATCCCGAATTTCGTGTGTTCTATAATGGGGATACTATGAATAATGCGGTGGCAGCCAGTACGCAAGAAATCGTTACATCCTATACCAGAGATTTGTATTCGAAACCATAATGGTATGGCTATCCTCCCTTGCCTACTTCTCCACCTAGCCAGACAATTTGGTTCGACCATTGATCTCTAGGATCAAGTCTCTGTGGTCACTGGATATACTTTTCCCACACGTGGAAGCAAGTAAGGAAGCTTGATTGCTGAAAGCGGCCATTGCTTTAGCAAAGCATCACACCAATCCTTTTTAACTGCAGACAGCTACAGTTGTGTCGCTTCTCGCAACTTTTCAAGTATAGATTTCAATTACATTCACTTCATAATAAACGTACATACTCAGCTCGGCAGCGTTGCCTTTGAGTGATTTTTCAATTTTTACACATGAAGATTAGCTTTCGCAGACAAATATTTTCCGTCGTAGAGTTATCTAGTTAAGTCGAACCACTAAGAATAGTCACACTTTTCAAAGTGTATTTATTTTATAGGCAGAAGAAAAAGTAAATTTACTACTGGAGAAGGCGCAAGTCTATATTTAGCAGCAAAATGTGTCCCGGGTTTGAAGAATAGAGAGCTGAAACTGATCCAAGGTTGTTAGCCTGTTTTTGCCCCATACTATATATATGCACACAAATCTACTTGCATATATGCAATATGAAATGACTGTGATTACATAAACAGTTATGTAATTAAAAACATGTGAAGCTAGATTTTAGAAAAAAACTGAAAAATATCTCTGTTGTTATGTTACTTACTACACACTGCATACGCAATGTATTCTTTGAAAATGGATGTTTACAAGTAACAAAACAAAAATTAAAGTTCAATTCTATAAAATAAAACATTTTTTTAGTAACTACATCACGAATAGGTTATACTTCGTATCTCAGGTCTTTCGGGACAAAATGATAGTACCCGTCACCTGAATACGGTTTCAAAACCAGCAGCTTTAGATTAGAACGGTTTTTAGAGCCCTTTGTAAATACCCCTTGCCTTAACTCACTCGTATTTTTGTTATCAGAAGTCCAGTGACTACTAGGTGGCTGAATCCAAATACGGCAGGCGCTTTTATGTATATGAACTGACTTATTCTAACATAGGACCTATTTCTACAGAACATATTTGAGCTCCTCGTCCACTTCAAGCAGCTCGACAACTTCACGTCGGGTTTCACTGCCACCTCCGGCAGTGCTCAACTCATCTGGCGAAGACAATAATACTTCCTCATCACTTAATTCCACTCAGTCTAATGAGGAACATCACTTCCCCTCTCATCAGGTATGCATACAGTTATCCAGTTTAAGTATAATAAAATTTCGTCACACCGGTGTGTGTCATGCGCATTCTCAATCCATTCGACATTAGGGTCCTTTTTTGACGTGTTTTGATATCGCGCTTTGTTTGAGTATTATCATTATATCAAAAAGAAAGTATCTGCAAAAGCTATTTTGATTTATGAGGTATTTAGAAATGAAGCTAACAGCTTATTACGCCGATCATATCACCAGAATATGGAAAAACAAGAGCATCAAGGAAAAGCCTGATCAATGTTGACAGCAAATATCTGGACTAGCTTCTGAGTTGTACCAACAGACATTTATATCATCATCTAGATCAGTTTTAAGAATACTCTGCGCTAGTTCACTCTGAGCGGATAATATCGTCGTATTTCAACAATAATGAATAGAAATCAGATATTTTGTCCTAGACAAAATTAGGCACAATGAAAGTAGACCAAGCTGTTTGTTTAAGACGGTTACGACAAAGAGGTAACTTTCATGGAGAGCTACGACCTTACGACTACTACTATACATATACGACTTTTTTCAGGCTTTCATTGAGGCAGTTTTTCGGCAGGCCCAGACACGCCTTGAAACCCCCAGCCCGTCGTCCTCACAAGAGTCGATACCTTTGGCCCTTGCAAGAGATCTTTCTTCACCAAACCTCTCACATCACTATGGTCCACCGAGTCCACAGGGTATGGCATATATTTTAGACATTGTTGACGCAGTAATATAATAAGATACGCCATCTGATTTCTACGTTTTTATTTGCATTTTCACTTGCTCCACTTACAAAGCATTTATAGCATCTTATTGAACCACATAGATTCATTTGAGGTCGCTATATGATGCACATTTCAGAATTTTTTTTTTGTTAATATTTTTGGAATGGTATTTCCAAGCGAGTTATACCTGAACAGTGAACCTGAAATTCTAGTGCAGTAAAAGTATACCTTAAATGTACTATGTTACGGGTACAAGTAGAATAATATTCGAGCTGATGAAGCTGAATATTATAGAAATATCTTTAAGCATCAAATAGATACCTATTTTGGAAATGCACGTTTGACCAGCGCACGCTATGACTTTCTCGACATATTGCTAAACATGGATAATGTAATCATGCCAAAATGTATGCATGTAACGTACAGATTGCGTGTTAAAGGAGTTTTAACTTTAAGAGGTGTCAGCCCTTCTCGCTAAACCTGTCAACCAATTGATCTTCTTTAAATAACTGGCAGTGCTTCTGCAGCTTTTTGTAATCTTTCCAAGTTGATATTCTTACACTAAGCAACAGTGCATATAGCAGAATACACAATGTTCGAAATTTTCTCTACAAGATTAAGGGAAATCTGTGTTATCATCTAAGAGGTCTCCACAGCTTTCCAACGAATCTTAAATATTAATTCAAGGGGCTGGTTCCTAGAAGTGTGTCAATATTCGGATTCGAACTTAGATTATCAAGTATTTCTAATTTTGATAAGCCAACGCATTGACACTGCACGATGACGGGAACGTTGCGCCTAGTCAATGGTCATCGATTGACATTCTAGACATCGGTGCTAAGGTGTTAGGTTTTGTATGTTAGGTTTTCAGCTTTCGTATAGGTATTAAAAGAAATTTAAAATTAACTGAAAAGAACTATCGACGTTTCTTCAAACCATCCTACGCAATTCATCAATTAGAACTTTTTTGCCGTTTTCTGACTAGTGGCTGTTGCAGTGGTACGACCGATTAGTCCCGGCGCACTGGTAAACGCTACGAGCTCTATGGCTTTAGTTTCGTGTGAAAGTAGTACGCAGTCAATTCATGAAGAAAGTGGCAAATCATTGTTGAACGACAGCAATAGGTCTGACAAATTCGCTGCTCGGTCGATGGAAAGAGATGAGAGCGAGACAAAACCTGCCACCATCACAGCGAGGACGCCAGATGATGTACGTGATCGGGGTCGCAGTGTCAGTAAGGCTTTTGAGTGCAATGATACAGGTATCGATGGTCAAGCTTTGAACCTAAGCGTTCACGGCCTCAATCGATCAGTAAGAGGTAAGTGACATCGCAGAATACAAGAGTGCGGAATCGACAGTATTTGCAATAATAATGCCTACTTCTAAAGTTTAGGATACGGAAAGCTTCATGCCCCTCTTTAGCGCGAAAATTAGCAATTGCTTTGGACATGTTGATTCTCCATATTCTTACTTTTAAGGATCCGTTAAAAAAAATAGTAGTTCGCTTATTCGATAGGGCTATTAGAATCGAGTGTCAACAAAAGCTATCCTGTTATCAGGCTGTAATAGTTTGGCAAAGAAAGAGACCTAATTTAATTAACTTTAGCGTAGTACCACTAGTAACAAAAGCACACGTAACGCCAACGGCTCTAAGCTTTCTGACTATTACATTTCAGAATTTGCTGACGAGGAACCTGAACCTAAAAAGCAGAAAACTTCTGATGAAGATGAGTTATTTGCTTTATCATTGGTTCCCTCATTAAAACGTCTCGGGGCGAAAGTAAAATCGCTTACGAAAATTAAAATACTTCAACAGCTTGTTATGGCTGAGTTCGGAGCCGAAGAGGAATGCCAAGAATAAATTAATCTTTCTAAAACGAGTAATTCAGCTGGGTATCACTTGGTTAGACTTCAGTTTAGTTTATCTCACTGGATTTCGCATAAAAGTATTTTGTGTAAAATTGCCGCTAAATAATCCTTTAGCAGAACGTTCTGTTTCTATGATGAGGAGATTAAGAATACACTTTAATCATTTTTGTTGAAGCCTTTATTGGAAAGCAAATTGACTAACCTTTTAAGAGATTATACCAGTTCCAAAAATTCTTAGTTGATAACCAGCAAGCTCTTCTTTGTTTCTCAAGGTGAACGCTAAATTATTAAGTTTGTCACACACACGTATATATACAACATACACTGTGAATGGAATATACATATGACTTACAGTTGTATAATAAGTCCTACATACGCCAAATAGTAGTTTGTTATATAGTAAATAAATATATGATCTTAAAGTGTGCCCTCGTTTGAATAAAGATTGGGCTGTATTTTGAAAAGTGAGTAAATGTTGCTACAGGGCTTATATTTTCCGTTTCGTAAGATGCAATAAAAGTCGACAAAAATTGACTATGCCTATTTACTGTTATAATTATTATGTGCGAAATTTTTATCAAAATAAATTAGCTCAGTATCGCACTGTTTTAAGTAGGTACCGGAAAGAGCTTTAGTGTTCTACCCGAAATTCTTTAGAACCATTTGTCTCAAGGAGTTTGTAGCATGTAAAGTTACTTATTTGACAGAGAAATTTATTGCCGGTTGCTTCAACATCCCAATAATGAAGGTAAAGAAGGGCCGCTGACAGATCAGTATCGATTAAACGATATCCGTAAGATAAACAGTAAAAAACAAATTTACGGTAAGTAGAAATAAAAGTAGTACAAAAAATTGTAGATTGAGTGATTCAAGGACTACTTTTGAACTACTGTTTTTTTGCAAGATTTTTTTCGATAACTCCTTAGGTCACACACACCTGACTCCAGGACACAGGATAACACCTGACTCTATTTTCTAGGGAAAACTACTCTATACAGGGTGACTGCTAACCTGATCCTTCCCGCTTATATTAAGAATGGTCAGGTTTGCAAGAAGGTACTGTAAGTTTATCTCCGTAAGCTCAAAACGCATATAGATTCTGACGAAACTTATCGCATCAATGAACTGAATGATATACAAGGAAAGAGAAAATCAAAATAACCCCATCCAAACCTCCCACTGATGATACCATAATACCGATAAAAAAGTTGAAAAGCTCTATGTCGTCTGTTACCTAGCCCTGGCTAACTCATATCTCCACTATACTTGACGCCCGTTGCCTCTTAACTATTATATAGTATTTTTAGGGCAATAGCCATTCTTATTAAGAACCCACTTTCTCCTCTTTTTATAATTTTTATTCTAATTTTTGGCAACTATCCGCTTTAGTTGAGCGATAGTATCTTCCTGACTGGTCTTCTTTTGCACTGAAATTCCGCTTGGCAAACCATATCCTTAGGCTACCACTAATGTACCAATCGTGGTTTATGAATCTATTTGTGCCTCATATTCTCTACTGCAAAGTACTGTCAGAGCGAGCCATAGATGCGAAATAACACAATTCAGAGGTTCGAAAAACGATTGTCTGCTTACCTTTTTCTGTAGCGCACTCCCTGCTCTTTCCGGTATCTCCTAGTTTCATGAACTATGCCTCTGCCTCTTAGCTTATCAGGTAGTCCACCCCAAGTGTTACTGCGTTAACTCGCGGACACTTAATCTATCCTTTACGTTCTCGTACGTTATTCACTCTCCTGATTTTCGTTGCCGATTGCTGCGCCAAAGCCAAAATTACGAACTACCTATAACCTAAAACCTTCCTTTGAAGTTAAAAAAAAATCACGTTCTCCCGCACAGTCAAAAGCTTTGTTGGCAATAATCCTACTTACGGGTTTTTAAATAATCTGTCTCACTCTCAACCTGTAAGTTGTATTGTCTAACATTAAATAGCCTATTTAAATAAATTCATCCGTCTCACTTTGCGCTTACAGTGTCACTGTTGTTCACATTAATGCTATTATTATTATTACTTCTCAGTTTATATTTTTTAAAAATCTTCTAATTCTATTAGTAATAGATAGCTACTGAATATGTTAAATAGGAACGCAGACTCCGCTTGCTCTACTAGACACATTAAAGGAGTAAATTGCAGACGAATTGTAAAACGCAGCAACTTCTCGTTAGCAGTTGCCTCTTTCAAGTCAGAAACATTGAAAAGGGTCATTATTCTATGTATGCTAATATGCTAATGTTTAACTTTCAATTCCGTGGAGTGATAACCCACCCCAAAAAGAGATCAGGTTAGTTGAAAATTATCAAACCTAAAAGTCATGCACTGCCTTTTGTGGTCTAGTCGTCCACTCTATGGATTCACATATGTTAGTCTATATAAATCTCGATAACAAGACAAGAAGGACATCTATTGAAAGAACCCGCTCGGAGAAGCATGTTTTTTAGTCTATAATTAGCGACAGGTTAATGGATGTTGGTTCTGGAAAGAGTAAATCATAACTGAAAAAGTATAGCTGTGTAATGCTTATTGAGGTATATTTGTCGGTTGAGGTGAATCTCGTTGGACGCGGCTGGACAGTTCTACGATTTTACGAAGTACAGCGGCATAAAGGGGGGATAAAGCATCTCAAGAAAATCCTCTTTACGGAACACGCTCACTGTTCTCAGGCCTTAAGAGCCTTGTGCCCTTTCGTGGCGCTGTACTCGAGCGGCCCCTTGAAAAAAGCGGTTCGTATAAGATATGAGCCATCTGTCTCTCTGTAATGGTTCATCCAGCTTTATACCACATTTATTCTCATTCAGTTTGTTCTAGCTGAAACGTGATCGGCGTCCTACATGCAGCTGTTTGAGGTAATAGCATTCGTGTTCGAAGTTCTGTGAAATTCACCTGTTAACTATGCTTCTTCCAACCACCACTTTTATTGCCCTTGTCCTATCGGTGTCTACGGCGCTGCCCCTTGGCTGTCAAAAGTACTACTGCCTTTCGGCTGCGCCTTGCGGGGTTCCACTGCCTGACTGTGCAGTTGGTCGTCACCCGGCGAGTTTCAAGTGGCTTCGGCCGCATATAGACGGCAAGCACGTAATAGGCATGGCACCCCCTGTGTATGCGGGATCAGATTACGTGCTCGATTATGGGCATCAATGTGTGCTAGTTATTCGCGTGCAAAGGCCCGACGAAGATGTACCCTTAGAAGCCTGTATTGCTGCCAATAACGTTAGCGACGACTTTTTCAATAATAGAAACTGCTAACATGAACCTGATCGCTCAAACGATTATAAATCGATGTATCAACTACACAGTCTTAGCGTAGTCCAGTGTGCTGCCTATGCAAGGTGGAATACAGCTGAATAAATTTTGTGCTGTGTTTAATTAGACATGTTTCTTTTTTTCGCTAGCTTATAGCTTCTATTACCGTATAACACAAGTCATTCAATCTATCTAGTTATCTGTGATCTTCTTTTGTATTATAGGTTTTCTGACAACTTCTAAAAGAGTCCAGTAGGTCGAAGATGACTTCGTAAGGGCACATTCTTTAAAATTACAATCTTTTTTTAATAACGCTGCTACTTGTCTGAGGCGATTTACTCATTTTTCGTGTCACATTATATGGAAATTCAAAAACATGCATCTGCAGAACTCGACCATTTAAAGTATTCAGCAGGTTTTAACAACAATTGTTGAAAATTATTCGATAGACAGACTTGCTGGTTCAATAGAGTACTCTTGCCTTACAAAAGGTGCGATGGGTGCTCCATATATAACTATTATAGAACCTTACTGTTGATTACTATTTCTAACTTTTCTCGAAAGATCCATCTAAATCCTAGGTTTGTTGTCCTCAAGGACCTTCGATAACTTAGGCAATGCATGTACTGAGTCACTACGTAGCAAGATAAAAATAAAAACAATTTTCAGGATCCATTTTAGTTTTTGTGTTTGTTTCATTTATCCACTTCTATCTGTCACGTATGTTTCAAACCTGTTTTCCGTAAGGGCTTATTTCTTAAGAAAACCCAAAATTGCTGTAGTGAAGCAGAAGGCTTCACTCTAATCCATATCTTTGCTTGCAAATGTCTTTCGAGACCCAAAGATAAGCAAGATTTCTTAGAAGATAAACCGAGCGAGTATGGAAGGTAGTTAAACAATTCGAACTTCTTAATACTGGATGCATGTTTTGCCAACGCTTTTATACTGACGCCGAGTTTTTTTGACAATCGTTGTGTAATTCCAGATAAGTGTTTGAAGCTTATTTCTGACAGCCAGAATCTCGGTACCGTTTTGCGTAAAATGTGTTCATTACAAAACACTCGTGCAAGTCTACAGAGTTAGTTCGCCTTAAAATGTTACTCCACGCGCTTTCACTTCCTTGTCTTCTAGGAATATATAAGAACCTTCACCATCACTATTTAAAAAATTGTCCTATTAAAGGCTCAAAAGCTCTAGTTCGATTTGGTTACAATAAAAAAAATCCGTTTAAGAATAAAACGTTGTTTTATACATTAATGGTACGCATGCGTACTTTCACTTATTATGAGCCTTTAGAATATTTAGTAGAGGATTGTATGGAATCCTAACCTCTTTGTTATAAAGCACGTCTAATAAAGTCCACTATAGAGAGCTGTAGAATCTCAAAGGAACTACTAATTGATGTGAAATCTCAATGGTCCTCGCCTGAATTCTGGATTGATTCAAAGATATTAAAATATTATTTTTAGATTTATACGATTTTTTGAACAAAGGTAATTCCGAAAGCTAGTCATTGCAACGATTTCAAATTTATGCGCCTTTCGGATTGTGCTGGGAGGCATCATTGCCCGCTCACTTGCGAGAATACATTCATTCTTCTATGAACCTTACGCTGTAAACAGAACGTCAAATTGTCGATGTTGGGGTGTTGCATTTGAAACGAAATATAAAATTTTTTGTGTATGATTGCACGATATCTAGGAAAGTTCTAACGAAGATTTTATGGTAAGACAATGAATTTCGCGAACTATTAAAATCATTTAATGTTTTTGCCGAATCTATACCATGTTGTATGTGTTCTTGGATTGGAGTCGAGGTTTTATTACATTGTTTCTAGATAAAAGTATTTAATTAATTCTTTTACCTGTGACAATGTTTAAGTTTTCGATGTGCTCCTGGTATTTTTGATCAATGTGCTAGATTGAAAATACTGATTCTCCTTTATTGACGAATGCTTTATGTGAATCCCGAAAAGTTCGGGATGTATGAATTCGATTTCATGTATCCCGAACTTCTCGAAAGCCGAAATCGCTTTTATAAATATCAATAGCGGGTGAAATAAAGAAAAATCTTGTAATCCGAGGTATATTGTTACATTTGCACGCGGTTTCTTTGTCGGCCAAGCCTCTAGATGAAAGTGGACAGTCGTCGCAGCTTGAAGTTTTGCCAACCACATATGCTTAATAGCTTGCGTAAATAAAGAAAAAAATAATAATTGTAAAGAATCGCATAATTGTATGACTACCAATAGACAGGCTATTATTTTCAAGTTGAGCTTATCCATTAAATTTAAGGTCTGTTCAATAAAGGGTAGACGTCGATCTTTCAACTCGTAGGATAGTTGTTACACACGTTCAGATTATTGTTAAAACTACTTGAAATTGAGACTAGGAAATAATACCGCAAACCATAATATAACGCATGTAACAACCAAAGCTCTGTTGTGTCTGACTGTATCATCTCCAGTGATTTGAATAACGGATAGTTACAATTACTAGCTGGGCAGTGTTTATCAAAAACATTAATAAAAAGAGCCCATTTAAAACCAACAGAAAAAATTACGGCGGATGAAGAGAGCTTCATCATTTGAATAGCTCCATAACCGTAGGCTGGGAGCTTGTCCTTGCAGAACGATTGCAGGAGATTGAAGTTGACCATTAATTACCATTCTGCCAAAATCTTAACCATTCACAGGTCCATCTCCATCTCAACGAAATCACTGCTCAATTTTTTTGCGGTTCCTAAAGAAGAATATTTGAACTTAAATATCGATCCTCAAATCAAGGTATACCTGCTGCTAAACAAAATAATGTTAATAAAACGACATAGTAGGTTATTCTTGAGGGGTTTAATCTTTTAGCAGCAAATATGTTGTAGTATTTTTAAATGACCAGCGAGTAGATGCATACTATTAATTGCTACTTTTGGTAGTTTCACCTTTTCAGAATACCATAAAGATATTGGGGTAGTAATTTGCACAGAACATTGAAGCAATACGTATTATTATTCGTATGTAGAAAAAACAAACAAATTATTTCAGATTTAAAATGCACAATACGAATTACAAGATTCTTATATAACCACTCTGAAAATCATGTATTTTGTACGTAACCTTCATATAAAACAATAATCTGTTCAGCCCTGATTCTAGCAGCATCTTTTTGTTTGGTATAGGCGCATGAATGCTTACAGTTTTTCTATATCAGGTCACAAATATTGCTGTCAGAATCTATTATCACCAACTTCTTTTTAAACTAATTCATGATACTTGTCGATTGGGCAAGGAAAGTTAAGAATAACTTTTCTCGTACGTTTTAATTCATTAACACGTATTAAGATAACGATACATGTATACCTTGTGACATGCTCTGTACAGGTTAAGACTTCAGGTTGTATAATTAATCTATTCCGAATTGTCTTTATATACATAACTTATTAGTACGCACGTAGAAAAAATACATACATTTGTGCTTCGGACACCGCTGGCTGAACATTGTTTATGAATCCTATTTAGCTGCCGTTTCTTTGGGATAAATAAAACTTTCAAGGAAGTAAACATATATTTTCATGGATTATTTCGGGCAGTAATATCATCGAGTCAATCTCATATGTGAAAAGCTCTTATAAAAATAATTGCACCTATTGTCAGATATCTTTGTGGCAACTTCTTAGAGGGTTGTTACCGGCCGGGAGCAAAAAACCTGTGTATTATTGCATGGAAGGAAACGATTACAGCCGCTAAGGGCTGCTGATTACTAAAGCGCATTGTCGGCCAAGAGCAGACACAAAAGTTGAAACCGCAGTAAGCGCACGTAAAAACGCTAAAAATATTTTTAAGTATCAAAAAATTGCAGTAGATGTCCGTTAAAAAAAGGTGTTGTGCCCAACAAGTGCATATATTGTACCAAATGATGTTCATTAATCCTATAGTGCTTTATCTTTAAGCTATAACTGAATATCATTAATAGAATATTCACAAGTAGCTGACCTTACAATAATAAACAATATATTGCAAATTCTGCTTTATGTGTATGTATATTTGTCTTTATTTGTTGTAATAAATTAAGCAGTGGACCTTCAAACCATTAAAGGTAAGTAACGTTGACCTTTTAGCTGACGAAAAATCAGTCAAAAATGGATTCCAGCGATGCCGGAGTTTTGACGGATTCATCGGATAGAGATTCAGCTGGTGAGGAGGAGGATGACCGCAGAGAGAACCTGGAAACATCCCGAAATGAGGCTACGATTAAAACAGTGCCCGGAGAGATCACCGAAAAAGATCTGGAAGAAGATTCGGTACCGAGTAACAGTAATAATAGAATCGATGAAATAGATAACTCGATGACTGATCATGAACGAAATGGAATCGAAGAGGAACGATTTCGCGATGTAGCAGGTGAAGACGAAGTAGGTGAACTGGACGACGATATGAATGCAGCGGCGGATATTAAAAATACAGCAGTAGAAGAAGATAAAGAGGAAAAGCAAACCAATGGCGAAAACAAGGTTATGGAACAGAAAGAAGCACAGGAGAGATGTAAGGAAAGAGAGGCGGCAAAAGAAAATATAATTGGCAATAACGGCGATGAGAATGCTACTGGCCGTTCTACTACTGCCACTACCGACATCATCACTCCCGACTCGCCAGCTGCTAATTTGAACACGACTGATGAGGTATGTTATTTACCAATTCAGTTTTCTCTGTGGCCAAATTAAGTTAGGTGTTTTCAGTACATTCAGTCCAAGGTGTTTGCAATCCAGTCTATGAAATGCCAGTTATAGCAATGACTCACAGAATGCTGGTATCAACATAGACGATCACTAATACAGTAATAATTACAATATTATACTGAGATTACTACGCTGCTCCAAGCGAATGCGGCAGACTTGGAAAGTGAAAAATTTTGAATTATGCATCCCAGAAGTAGAAACATGGCTGATAGATACGCTAGTCTTTTTAAAACCTGTAAGTGAAACCGGTCGAGCTCACTTAAGGAGAAATTTATTTTGTAAAGTCCCGAGGATAAACGCTTAGTCGTCAATTTTCAGGAAGGCCACAACGCTGCAAAAATTTATTGCAAATTGGTGAAGGCATGAGGCAAGGAGACGATAAACAAAAGCGCAGTTCGTGAATTGTGTCAGCGTTTCAAGAACGGAGATTGAAGTCTCGAAAACTAGCGAAAAAACTACCAGATATCACGACTTGAAAAAAAAACGCTCTATGCCTCAATTACTTATTGGATTGAGCAAAGGAATATCTAATGTTGGTCTTAATCTGCTTGTTTTTCCGATTTAAGTCAGTATGATTACGAGGCTTTTTTTTATGCCCTAGAAAAAGAAATTGGTGGACAAATACAACCCACAATCGATTTTGCGCTACGCAAAGTTGCACACGGAAACACAAATAGTGGGTATATGATTGCTTAGAAATTGTTAGAATACTGGTTGACATAAGTATGTAAAAAATAGAATACCCCCAACACATTTTAAAAATAATCATTTTAGCCTATTTAGTTCAAAAGTTAATTTCAAGGTCCGCTGTATTCGCTCGTGACAGCGTAGTGTTAGCCATTATTATTATAATAACAAATCGCTAATAAAAGATAAATTATTATAATAAATAAATTATATAAATAAGGTAGTTAAATTACACCACAGGCACAGTATATTGAAAGATACATTTAACTATATAGGTTTACGTGACGTAGAAAACTATTTACAGTGCAATTCACGTGGAATTCACTGTTGAAGCAGAGTGGGTATCACCTACTGCTACATTTCTGTATTACATTTATTTCAACAGTGTAGCGATTTAATTCATTGCGTGTTCGTTGTTTAATCAGTTAGAGGAGGAAACCGTTCAACCCAGCACGTCGATGCCACCACCGCCCCCCAAAAGCCGGGAACAACTTGAACAGGAGGAGCGGGAAAAGATGCGTGTTCTTGTCTCATCCTTCTCCGAAGACCAACTTAATCGATACGAGATGTACAGAAGGCAAGTAAAAAGTTTTCTTTGTTTTATTGTTGAATTGTTAATAACTACATGCATTTCGCCTTTACTTTTTAACTTATTGAGATTCTTGGAATATTTTTCTTATTTTTGGTGCAATTTGGGGATTATGTAATTCTTAATTCCGCTTATTTCGGCAAAAAAAACGAACTATAATACTACGTCAACTTTGATTTAGTCTGATATGAGAACCACAAACCTGTTGGCGAATAACGATGGCATAAACATATTCCTTTGACTTAATTATTTATATTATTTTGTAACTCGGTTTAGTTTTGTTAAATGAGACTATTTCTATAATGATTAAAAAAATGTTTACCCGAAAATTCCATATTAGACTTTTCTTCTTTTTAAGATTAACGTTCTTTGTTTATCTTTTGAAAAGTGTTTCCAGTAAGCTCTCACTGAAGGTGTTTTACCCTCGCAGCTCTAGAAAGGGCATACGCTGCCATGTGCTAGCATATTTTGAACTTGGCATGACTTGACTAAAAAAAAGTTATATATATAATAATGTATGATTATCTGACTTTTTTTAATGCATGATGCAGCCTCTACAAAACTAAGATCAATACTGAAAGCTTAAGGTATATATAGAGTTATGGATGAAACACTTTTGCATTTTCTGCTGCGAACTTGATAACTAACCACTTTGTTACCGCTAAATTTGTTTGTTAGTCAAGTAGACTTGACCGCTTTTTTGCTTGATTCAGGCAGTTATTGGTAAACGGGAGCTAGCGAATTCTTTTCGAATATTTTCTGTGCAGATTGTCTCAAAATTTTTGGTTGGCACTGTAGGGCAAGAAAAGTTCTAAGCAGCGTCGATATTAAAAAGGTTAGCTGTATACAACAGTAACCCACCAGTTATCGTTGGTATACTTTGAGGATGTTGAGTGTGCGTCGTACGTCTAACTCTCTATTTTGTAATTCTTTTTTCCGCGTACGATCTCTAAAGCGTAGCCTTGCAGCGGGCAGCTGGTAATCTGCAGTCGGTTAGTTACGTTCGTTGTTTTTAAACTTATCCGGCGGACCAGAAGGATGACAAAGAACGCATAGATGTATCAGATTGTGGTACTGGAAGCGAAGCTTGTCTTGGCAGATACTGCTGCACTAACGCATCTCGCATCTTGTTTTAAAATTTGATGGGCTTCCGTCGTGGCATCGTCGAAAAAATGTCAAAATATAAGCTAATATAGTCACTCTAATTTCATATAGAAATTATTTTTATATTCAGATATCTTTCTCAAGAAACTCAAGAGAAAAGGTGAAATTGCAGCTCTACCTTTTTTACAAGTTTAATCGTCTCTTAAACCTTAATCACTAGAATGTATTCAGATGTCGTAAACGTGAACGATGATGATAGTTCTTAATATTATTAGATTTAGAAGCTGGGATATATAAAATATATAAATTTATAGATTTATACATTTAATGTGACTCAGTGAGGTACCTTTTGGATCTTAACTTTGTTAAAATTCATATTTGATGAAGGCAAACAGAAAAACACTCCTTTGCACATTCCTATTTTCACTTTGGCAATCAAAATAGTAATCCTTATTGGGCCACATATTCTTCTGAGTGCTGTGTGTCACGACATCTTTAACGAACCAATTGGGGCGTTTCGCAAGAGAGATGCCTCGATGGCTCATAATTTCCTTAGACACACTTTTTGTCCCAACTTAGTCACCCCTTGGCTTATTGACCACGAATTTTAAGACATTACTTATAGTTTCAATGCTGTGAATATAAATAATGGTGTTTCAAAATGCTTGCATTTCGTTTAACATAATTAACGGTACCCTTAATGCCTTGTTTTTTTTTCGATGACATGACTTAAAACCTAAGAAAGTATGTATAACCTTTCCATTGCCTCGGAACCGACTAAAACAATTCTTTTAAGAGTGCAATCAACGATTTTCTATTTCGGTTTTTTTAGGGCAGCATTTCCGAAGGCTGCTATCAAGCGGCTTGTTCAGTCTATATCAGGTTGCTCGGTGTCTCAGAATGTCGTCATTGCAATATCGGGAATTGCGAAAGTTTTCGTGGGTGAAATTGTCGAGAAGGTAAGACGATTAATATAAGAGTATTTTTAATAAAGACGTCAATTCTTTTAGCATTAACGTAGATCGAAAAATGCTATGGATTAATGAAAATATTGTGTAAGGGATGTACGGCCTCAGTAATCCGCTGATCTCATAGTCTAAACTGGGAACATCATGCAACGTAAATTTGCCTTTATTACAGTTAGCTATACTGTTATTTAGAAGCGAGGCATCCACTATCAGAATAGATGTCAGATGTCATCATCAGTCAAAAATGTCAGAATAAATGTACATGTTTAGTCCTATCGACCTTCAGAAACGTTACTGTGACATCGCTTTTAGCTCGGAATTCGAACATTGCACCGGCATAATTCAGTCTGCCACATTTATTGCATCGTTTAGCGTTTGCTGTTCAGTGAAGATTAAGAATTGATGGTCCGATAAATTCTGTCGATACTCTCGTGTCTTCTACACGTTTTTCACCACTCATATGCTCTGAAGAGAGGCGGAAATTATACTTAGGAATAATGTGACATGTTCGATGCTCTTAATGATAAATTACCAATCGTGCTAATATGTAATCCACTTACCCAATGCCTTTGATAATGCAATGTTAACTTGCACTTAACGTGAAGTGGTTAGATTCAAAATTGGTCCTAAACAATTTGTTTAGTACTTTATGATGTTTAACGGCGGTGCCGGGCGTGAAATTCAAAATATTGGCCCACCTCATTGCTTTTCCATAGCTAGTGAGGGCAGTAAGCTTAGGGATCACCTTGTGTTTTTCTTTATCAGCGTCTGATAGAAATAGATGTATACGTAGTTGAACTTAATCGTGTACAATTATTTATCCCCGTGAAGTTATTTTTGTTTACAAATACTATGTGGCGCGTTTTCTGCCTGTCGTCTGATGTCGCGGCTTGGAAAATAATGTGTGCGATGAACACTTGTTACACCAGTCCGTCTACAATATCGCTAAATTCTGAATACATTGCCCAGCCCTTGAGTAACCGAGAAATGATAATTTTGGTGGCAGCATAACTCCCTGCACATTTCCTGTCAAGCAGTTCACTGTGGCGCTTTTCAGTCAGCGCAGGCCGATTTTTAATCGAAGTATGCACCTTTTTTATTCAAGACTTTGTTATTTGAATGGCCTCCTACTGCAGAAGTGTGAAATATGAGAGTCTATGAAACCTGGAGAGCAATTTCAACCTCAGGTTGAGAGTAGACTAATATTTCTATTAAGAATTTTTCGAGATTCTGAAAGAACGTGGTAATTTGTAGGTGCATTATCTAGTTGGATAGACGGCTTTCTACTGTGACGCCTGTATTTCTTTCACTATGATTTTTGTGATGTTAAGCCAAACGTTGTCGTGCAATAGAATTTGTTCACCTCTGTTCACTAGTCTTAGCTCTAAAAGTTATTATCTCTAATTGTTTGCCAACATACGGCTATACATTTTGCACGGTCAGCTGTATATAGTTAGACAGTAAAAATCGGAGGTGACTTATATCTTATTAATTCTCAACTATTTCGGCAGGCTGAATCGCAAAAATATAAAACATCACAAATTTCTTCCTACCCATTTTCTTGAGCTTGAAAAAGCAAGCAATTTATCAATATGAACTGTTTGGCAGAACGGTTTGCGGGCAAATTTCGAAAGAACAATCAACTTCCCAAATTAGAATAAAACTTAATGAAAAAAGAGAACTACAAGGAAAATATTGTTTAATAGATTCCATCTCACGTATAGCTTACTCGCAAAATGAAAATCTACCGACCCGCAAAAACTCAGCTCAAAGCGACCATTTCACAGGGGCGATTTGGATACGATAGAAAAGGCAATCACCTTTAGTAGAGTACTAGAGGGACCTGCGGGCTTTTCCCCGCTTTTTTTGCCGTTGACTTTACTACTTAATTTGTTAGTGTCTGTTGTAGCTGTGAACTGTTGTAGCTAAATAACAAGTAAACGAACAGCTATCCCATATAAACGAAGTTTATTTGCGTTACATATAGCCTGACATACCCCGTAAATCAATTACAGACCCACATGCTTTGGTTCTGACATAAATGAAATCCTGCAACATCAATCGGATCATCCCGTAACAGTAATTCTATTTTTCCGACCCAATGAGTCTATTAGGAATTTTTATCTCGTTGCAGTGGCTTTGCTCCACGCAAGTCGTTATCCCATTGAGATCTCATCGACAGTCCTATCGCCAACATGCTGCTAATATTTGCTTGCTTTAATATTCAGCTCCTAAATTATTGCTAGGTTGCGTATAGCTGTAGTTCTCCTGAAATCACCGAATTGTGACTTGTTGTGAAAAGTAAATCCTTTTACTGCAAGCGGTCAAATCAATGGTTGGATGCAACCGCGCCGATCGTACATCATCATAAAGCTAATGCACATCTGTTGTAAGTTTTAAGATGCTGACGTGCATATGTAAAATAAGACAAAGAAAGCCTTTAAGTATTTCAAGCAGAAAAAATTCGGAACGCCAGTTTCAGCTTGTTTTTTCAAGTTACAGAATCTGTAAGCTACTAGTAGAAATTTGCCTTTTTACTTTCCTTCTTATAACCAATCAGAATTTGGAGTCATAATGACACGAAATCATTGTGCGAATGATACATATGAGACTGTAAAGAACATGTGTAGAATTCATAATACATCTCGGTTAAAAAGAAGTCTTATCACTATTACTGGCATACAGATATTCAGAATTTTATCCAAGCAATTCTATTACCCTTCAGGCAAAATTATTTGTACTATTATTAAGGGATTTATCCCATGGAGAGAGAGAGAGAGAGGGGGGGGGTGGTGGTGAACCATTCCATAATACCTAATGTTGCAAATTTTTTAATTTTACGCATTGTCTTTTCATTTCTACCACTACTGATTTAGTTTCTGTTATTGCTGCCGTTTATTCTCCTTCAGAAAAGGCATAAACCGGTAGTATGTATTACTTTGTACTTGTACGTCCGCGTTTATTGTTTACCTGGGCATCATCTTTTTATAAAAACAAAATGGAAAATTTTTCGAATTCTGGACAATGTCAAAATCCTATGTCAACAGTAGGAAACGCGTTAGCTATCTTCCTCTGTAGTCAGAAGTGGAAATTTTTTTGAATTAGTAACAACTATAAAGTCATGGTCATTTAGAAATAATGCCAATGTTCGTTGACGAAAACATCTGTTTAAATTAACATATTCCACATATGGTTGCAAAATCTACAGTTATTCTCACAGTAGGCTACATAAAAAAAACTTTATTTTGAACACTGGATTTTCATCCTAATCAGAACATAAATTTCGTTTCGTTGTTATTGTTGAAGGCACTTGATTGTATGGAACAAACTGAAGAAGGAGAGAACCCTGGTCCCATTGAACCACGTCATATTCGGGAAGCCGTCAGGAAACTTCGGGACGCTCAAAACATGCCAAAAAGACACCGACGACACCCTTACTTTCGTAGATGATAGCTGTATATATATATATATATAGTTATAATGTACAGTTGGTACATTACATGTGTAGGCGAGATGATTTATGTTAATGATTTCTGTATCATAATGTACGTAAAATTACTAAATATTTTGGTAAGATACTATAGTACAACACACGACAATGTGTATAATATTTGTATACATATATATCTTTTGTATATTCCTTGATTATGAAAACTGTAGAAAATCCTATTTCATTAAGCGCATGTACGGAAGGTTCTCGTTAGTCTTTGATATAACCAGTAACCGCAATGATGGGATAGGTCATCTTGAGAATAATTCATTTTTTGCTTTCAGAACTACTGGCCGCAGGTTGCGTGTGGATTATGCCTTGTATGCGGCTTAAGAGTTGCCATAACTTGAATGATTTATTTATATAACTACTTGAAATATAACTTGCGTAGCCACTGAAGGATATGTAAATACAGGGAAATAAATTTATCACCATATTTGAAATATCCTAAGAAATTTATTCATAGTGATTAGTTCATATGAGGGCTGAATTGCCTCAACTGGCCGTTGTATGAACCCAGCCAAATAAAACTTTAGGAAAAAGGGGCTTCTAGTGCGGATGATCTTTGTGTTAGATACGATGGAAAATGTTCTGTAGAGTTTTTATGACATCATACACATTATTTTAGTAAAGTAGGGAAATTAAAGCAGGAAAACAATCATTATTAATAACATAGGCAGTGTAGATGGCCAATTACTCGACGCCTAGGTAAACTACGAACATCAAAGCGAGTATTAGACAAGAATAGAATTAAAACATTTTTATTTTCGACGGTGAAAAGTTGAAACAAATCGGTATCATGAAAACGAAGAAATCTTTCTTGATTAGCTGAAAGGTAACCTCTCCGCTTCACGAAATTTACTTGTTATTGATGATATTGTGCCACGAACCTAATGTGGCTGAAAATTGAATAAACTAATTTGAAGAGTCGAACGCATGGTACGAGAGCGCTTCTCATTATTTTTCAATCGACGAATTTATCTCTGTACAGAAATAGATTTCTATTAGCGTCGGTTTTCTTCGTTCAATAATCGAAATAAGCTGCATGAAGAAATGATCTTTTTGGTAATCTCTTTCTTATTTCAGATATTTTTTTTTTCAGACAGAGTTGATCTAAATATGTTAGAGAAAATTATAACGTAATAGACAGTGCTAGATTTAAAAATGGATTTTGCATTCGACGTTTCGACACAGTATGCGTCACAAACACCGCGTATAAGGTTCTCAGCAGCCTGACACTCTGCTTTCAATGATCCCAATTTAGTATGCATGTTTCGTAATCAGCCAGCGTACCTTCACTTAACGTCTATTATGATTAATTATTCAAATTTACGTAATTCGACGCGTTGAGCGGTTATTCTGCTGCAGTTATACTGCACTACTAATCCGATTTGTTTGTTCATTTGTGTTACGCCTGGCTTAACGTAAGTTTGTTTTATTTAATAATAATAATTTGTTTGCAGACTTATGGTATACTGTTGCAATACTCCGGAAATCTTATAGCAGCAATGCCACTATCCGACTGTGATGCTTCTAATTCTTCGATACAGTCGATCTATTAGTAACATCTATCATGCTGCAATTAACTTCCTCGCAGAGACATCTCGAAGCGTACTTTTCAAATTTCAATAAAAAATATCAATTTTATGTACAGGTGTATGTAATGCATTTTAATTCAGTTTATCGGGATGTATCAAGTAGCTTTAAGAGGAATATCTTTCACATAGGATACCATAATTAGATTTTTCCTCTTCGATCTGAGAATTGAAAGTACCCCTATAAACATGTATTGGGTTCTTATTCAGTTTATCGAGAGCTTTCGATTGATACCAGCAAATAATCCCTACATAGGCTTCCGTCTAAAAAAAACATTTTGCTGCAGTGTCGCACAAGTGAGAAAAATTAGCACATTTGGTTTTCGGACTTTTTAGGCAGAAATATTGATTCTACCTATAGGATATAGTGCATGTTTACTTAGCTCATTGATCTATCGATTGGTGTGAAAAATTGTGATACTCTGCATAGAAACAATGTCGATACCTTGGTATTTCTTTCAGAAAATCGTAAAAAAAATGTTTTAATTGTTTAGTTAAAATGTTTATCATATTAACTACTGCAACCTTTCAATTCTGATATATCTGAAAGCTCATTCTGACTCCAACGAGGCAAATTTCTTAATGAGTTTTTAACCATTTGTACGCCGAAGTTATCCATTTAGATATAGGGATATGTACAGCATGTTTATTCAAGTCAGCGATGTCTACCGATTAGCGTCAAGAAAATCACCTACGTAAAATACCACAGTAGGTTTTTGCCTTTCGGGGGCCATTTCCGAAACTGAAATACAAATATATACAAATTGGTATCAAGAACTACCTTCCATGCAAATAGTTGGTTATCAAATTGTCAGTAGGAAAAAATTGCACAAAAATGTAATCCATGACAACCACTAGTGCAAGTGAGAGTTTCCATGTAAATGCCCAAAGTAAATGCCAATAGAAAAACATTGCAAAGAAACGTTTTTTTTAGTGCTACATTTTATTCTCTCGAAGACAAGTTCTCATCTGATTGGCTCTGTCTTATGAGCAGTTCTTTTCAAGATAAAGCCTAGCGATTTGTCAACAATGCATCCACATTAAGGGGTCGATTTTTTATTTCAACAGTAGATTAGATAGACTGGATTGTCCCGCAAGCTTCGCCCCCCGCCAATTTTACTGTTGAATTAAAAATTTTGATTTATTGACTCTACGCCGCGTTTACTTTGAACTACAGTGTACATCAACAGCTACTCTGCTACAGATCCTTACGTCGTTACCCTCCTGTACGTCTTCTATTAGCTTCCTATGAGAGACGTGTAACTTTACATATATCCTCTGGATTCTGCAATAGAACTTCTCTTATCCCTTGCAACTATGCCTTAGGATAGTTATCTTTCCCTAAATTAAGCATTTCATTAGTAACGATTATCCCATCGCAGTTACCGCGCTTTATGGATCGTTTCCCGTCTGTTCCAACAGTCCTGTTGCCACATTACAGTTGTTATCTTATCTACCTGTTTCAACGTTTGGTTCGTGTTATACCATTGGGAACGATGGTTTATTGCAGACTAGTGTTTTTTTTAGGTGTCCGGTTGAATTTTTCTTAAAGCTCTGTATTATTCACTGTGCTATCCTGTTGCGTTAACCCGGTTAACGTAATCAATTTTTTTTTCATTGAGGTAATCTCTTACTTTGTGTTTATGACCCCATTACCTGGATGCACTATCTATATTCTACCCCAGAATTCGAAATATTAATTACCTTGGTGGTACAAATGCCGCAGTGAATCAATTGGCCTGCCATTCCTTCCCGCTACTTGAAGTAATGATTTTGGTCGACTTCAAAAATTAGCAATTTAAACCCAATAGTAAATTTTATCCCATATATTGACATCCAGTTAACATTCGACAAAGCCCGCGGCGCCAGTCTTAGACCCTACCCCTGCATTGAGGCGTTCCTGTAAGCTCGATACCATGCTGCATATATCCGTGTTTCAAATCTCAATGAATACTAACTTCCGAGAAAGAGTACCTCTTCAAACGAGAAATTTGAACCATATCCAAAAAGGTTTATATTTTATTAACGATTTTGCAAATTGAGAAAATTAGCATCTAGTTTTTCTCGAAAAAAATTACCTTTGGGAAAATTTAATCATCGATATCCATGGTCCGACGACGGTTCATTTCGCAGGAATCATAATCTGGCTAAGAATGACAATTTTACCATTCAATAGAAAATAAGTAGTACGTTAAAAATTACCCCCCGATGCCTATACAGCGCAGTTTGAAAAAAATAACATGTCAATATAAATTTCTCATTAAATATCAATAAATGCTTAGCAGATCGTTAAAATAAGCGCCTGAATTAACACTATAATTTACGGGAAAAAGAAACTCCCACCAGAGGAAAACTATAAGCTGAACTGATTCATATTCTATCAACCTTTCAAGTTAGACAAATTAGCCTCACGCGCCCCTATATGAAAAGGTTATCTTTTAGGAAAATACATATTCGCTCAATCAAAGAATGAGAAATGATATATATTTTACCAGTTGCTAACTACCTAGGCAAAGACCACCAATTTACGACTAAATGCGAAAAAATCTCTTTTTTTTTCCTAATCCAAAATTGCACTTATCCCCCATGGCTTGAAAAAATAAGAAACCTTTCAATATAAGTATTTCTATAAGTCAACGTAATTATCGAGCAGATTTCAAAAATTGTCCGAGTTACCTAAATTAACAACACGCTAAAAAAAAATCCTCCAGACAAATATTCGTTAAACCGGCTGGATTTTCTGCACAGACCTTACCAGGAGCAAACTGTGATGACCTACGAATTAGCTTTATCCGTGATACAAGTACAATTTAGACAGGTTGACAGGCGACACAAGTCAGGTATATTTGTTTACATAATAAAATTTTACGCTCAGATAGAAATATACACTTGTTCATTCAATGGTCTGCGATGATTCAATAATTCGGCTCAGACAATGTTAGTGGCCGCCTTGGAGTTGCTAGAACGGGTGCCGTGTTATCTTCGAATGTGAAAAATAAGAGAAACGTTGCTGGTCTTGGTTTAGGACCAACCAAATTAACAGCACGCTCCATAACTTTGTTTTCCAGCAACAAAGGTGCTTTTTCAGTCGGCTACATTTAACACACGGACTTTTCCAGGAAGCTCTGACGAACCATAGAAAATCAGCCCAATCCACTTTGGATCGGACAAACTCGCAGACTTAGACTACTAGTAGTATAAATGAGATATATATAATTCATTACAATAACTACTGGATATTCCGCCGATCAAGACACTTGCTATTAAGAGCGATAATGTTTACGGACTAGCTCTGCGTCCGTGTACCCAAACTCCGTCAGATGGGAATTGTGCTGCATAGGCAGCTGCAGTGATTTGTTCACATGGGAACGTTTTTGAGAAACTGTGCAAAAACTCTGAGGAACAGTGTACGTTACAAATCGGAGAAACGTTTGCTACGTTCCAAATTATATTAGAGAAGACAGCAGAACAACATACTGCGTGTGTCGCATGCCACTGTGCTCTGCTACGCCGAAATGATGCTAGTCAGAAAGCGCAGATATTCGAGATCGAGGCACGAAGAGCGCGGGAAAAGCCGCAGATAGAGTCTAGGCAGCACATGCTCGGGACAGAGTAAAACAGTTTGACCCACATGATCGTCGCAAGGGAGACGACAGTAGCAGCCAAGATGAGCCGCTACATTTTTAAATGCCTTGGAAAAAATGTATGTGCACGGAACAAATAATCACCGCCAGCTACAATGAGAGATACAGAAGCTCCACACAGAAAGCGACGGTAGAAAACACCGCTATGGGACGCCACCGTATTACTGACAGCCTGTGCTAGCACAGTTCTAGTCAAAAAGCAACATAACTGCCGCAAAAGTGAATGCGTTTCTCGTCGTGCTAGGCAATTTAGGAGCCTATTTCAAATGACTTTCGGCATCCCTTACAGTTGCTGCTTTGTTGAGGGTACGTAAAATGCGACATTATTAATTATAGAAAGCGCTGTTTATGATAAAATGGGATCTATGACGCCATAAAACGCACGGAATTGCCAATTTCTTCGAACTTAATGGATTCACAAAACATCATCATTATTTTGCCATAAGCACTACAAGGTCCAGGGTCAAACGCTCGATGACGTTCTAACAGCGATAGAGTAGTCAGTCTTCAACCACGGTCAATTGTACATTACGTTCAGTTGCGTACGTGTTTCTGACGGTTTGATATTCGTTCGTAAGAACACAACACTAGAAATATTCTTTGAAACATAGCTATACAAACGAGAATTACATAAAAGTGCTTATCAGCATAACACCGATTATCATTTCGAACTTGATGAGCTACCT